TTAAAAACTACAAAGGATTGATAAACAGCTATGATAGCGTACAATGTCACGGAGCCATTCTATACTAATAAATTAATTAGCAGAATTGGAAGCAATAAAATTAAATTAGGTATTTCACGTAATCGACAAACCAAAAATTTACTTTCAAGGTCAAAAACAAAATATTAAGCAGAAGATAGATTTTCAAAGAAAAAGTTGTTTCCAAAGGAAATAAAGTAAACAAGGTGCGTTAAGTAACTTGAGGATTTTAAGATAAAATTTCTGATTTGCACGAAATATACGCTCTGGTAACAAGATTATCTTTGGTCCGAGATATTTTGGCATTTTCAAACAAACATATCTTGTTATGGCTACTCATATGTATGAGCTCCTATCTATGAGCTCTTCTCTTATTTTCACTGGATTACTGCAACCCACTAAACGTATCAATCTACTTACATCAATTAGCATATTAAACAGCGCTACCTCATATATTATACATATGATTGTCTTAGTACCAGAGTCAAATTTCATGACCATATAAGGAGCGTGATGTCACTTATAGATATAGATGTAGTGGTTTTTTGTTTAATTTAAATACGTTTAATTAAAATTAATTAAGAGTAATTTCAATGTAATAAAGTATTTTTTATATAGATTTAAGGTCATAGATTAAGATTATAATAATTTTACTTGTTTTTATCTACTAAATTATATTAAATTTTAATGTGCAAATTTAATTTGTTTATTACATTGTAAATATTAATTATTATATTAAAACGAATACTCTAAATGCGAGATAAATATCTAAGAAACATGAGTAAGAATTCGATTGTATGTGGAACTGGTGCGTAAAGACCGGTGATTCTATAGTATGCACTTGCATGCTCATCGATTTTGTAAGTACCAATGAGACTCCGATAGTCTCTCTCTCTCTCTCTCTCTCTCTCTCTCTCTCTCTCTCTCTTGGTCTTCAAACGGCTTGAACTCCGCACTTAACATCTTCGCGTGAGTTTTGTATATTTTTAGATGATCCGGTTTAGCGTAAGCTCCATGTGCTAGGAACATCAACTATGAGACTTCTTTTATGAGCCAGAGAGTTCGTTTTATTATCGAGCTACCTACTTAGTGAGGTTAGGAGAGTTTGACGTGCGAATTCGGCGGTAAAAGACTATCATAATATGAAATAAATTTATGTTGGGCTCAACAGCACAATGCACTACATAGAATGCATAGCTTAGCAGTACGATGCACTCTTTGAAATTTTGGTGAGTGCTGAGTTGTGTAATTACAACTCAGCATTAATCGAATATAAAAGTTCCAAAGTCAAGTGTCTAATTTCAGTGTGTACTCGTATGTCTGTAATGCCACTCGTCAAATATATTCAATACCTATAAAAATTAATAATATCCTTTACTCATACTTTATTTCAACAAAGACCGACTACTTTGCGTATGCACCGGTTTGTCACTGCGCCTGTGCCAAATTTACTACAAAAGTACGACTCTTGGCGCGCTCTCTCTTGCAAAGGAGTGGGAATATCACCGAAGTGCTCGTTTCAGTCGGTGGAAGTTGCCAAAGGGCTCTAGCCGACTGAGACTTGTCGCTCTACTGAGCAGATTGTCGGTGTTCAGACGTTGAAGCTTGAGACTAGTCGTAGATCGCTAGCATCGCTACAGAACGATACTACAATGAAAGTGAGCAGTAAAATAGATGGACATAAAAATATTGATGATCACTTACTTGTGACACCGGATTTCCTAGCATGAAAAACGTAGTAATTGCGTTAAGCACATTGAAATTATTATTTCAAAGATTTGACACCATCGAGAGGTAGGTCGATGTAGTGAAGACTCTTATGCGTCGGTGCTCCGATCAGGTAAATACCACCTTGGTCTCTTCATTACCTGAGACTGAGAGAGGTTAAATCTTTGAAGGTTGCAGTTCGACACTAAATGGCGTGATTTGTGAGCAGCCCTTTCAGTTTCCTCGCCCAGGAGATGATCTTTGGAGTAAATGAGCACGATCAGTTATTAGTAGAGAGAAAAATCATTTTTATTGATAACTGGTACAAATGCTATGCACGCAGGAGTAACCGGCCGAAGTGGCTGGCAAAGCAGAATTAACTGCGGTAGTAGGCCACGCCTACCATGCGGTGGTCGGCTGTGTAGATCCCTACAAGTCCTTGGTGTTACTTGAACTGCAAAAGATATGTGGCTCCTTTCTGGAGAGCAATTGCTTTCTAGAAGAGAAACGTACCATCGTACAAGACAAATCTGGTGATATCCAGGGTGTTTGCCGAGTTACTCATAAAAAGTGCAGTCCGAAGAATATAATTAATAGTGTTTCTAGTGGTAGTCTTGAAGTTGACAAACCATTGAATCACCTGCTTTAGACTTCAATAAAGCTGCTCATGGGTCCGGTGGCGGAGTATGGTGGCCTTGTATGGAGAGAGGAAGCTAGGGGCTTGAAGAGTAAGGTTTTGAGGGTTGTGAAGTCATCATTAATCGGCTGATTAGTGAAAACTGTCAGTTACCACAGGAGGGTATAAATAAATTGGTTTTTGCGGTCCTACAGGCTATTTTCCCTTTTCTAGTGCCTGAGGATATTGCGGGAGTCAAGATTTTACGGCTTTGATGGTAAAATTCTGGAAATGCTGATGATGAAGACGAGAAAGTGGGGGGGTAAAGTGCGGGAGCCGAGACCAATTTTGTCTTCCTGTATTGTAACACTTGGGAAAAAGAGACTGCAGCGCGAAATTAGGAGTGTCAAGTGAGCGAGGACCAGTGCTCATCTGACTGCCTCTGATCGCGGCAGAGATGAACTTGGGCCGGAGCTGTCTACCCTTATACCTCAGAGAAAAACCTTTATTAACGAACTGTTGCCCCTATCGAAATTTTAGTTTTTCCAAACCCAACCTAATCCATCGCGAAGGGGCTTAGGTTCTGGTATGCATGGCACAGTGATGGGCAGTTCCAGGTCCAACGTTGGATAGATGAAAGGAGTGTACGCCTTTGAAACGGCAACACACTTATCCATATAAAACTCCTTATTTACAGGGAGTGGGAAAGGTGATGTTTTCAGGTGCCTGAAAGTGAGCATAGCTGGTAGCGTTAAAGAAGAGTAATACTCCTTCATCGGTTTCGAACTTTCGTCCGATGGCTTTTCTCTGCCCTTGTCCCTTTTAGTGATGAGGTCACTAGTTTAAGGGTTGTTCTTGACTGCAAGCTATCGTGGAGGTCGCATATCCGCATATCGACCTTGTCTCAACAAAAGTTAGAAGAGCTCTGTATGGTCTCCGTTTTATTAGACCATGCACTACAGAGCTACTCTGACGTAGATTAATGGAGTCGCTGGTCCAGCCGCACATAGAGTATTGCACGGTAGTTTGTCTGGGGATCTCTGTGAAACAGAGAGTGAGGATACAAAGACTCAGCAATGCATGTGTGAGATACATTTTTGGTATCCTACGTAATGGATCTTTCTCTCCCTTTTGAAGAAGGTTAGGATGGCTTAGATCGGATGTGCGCAGGAATTACTTTGCTTTCTTGCTCATATATAAATCATTACGAATGAAGGAGCTTGGCTACCTGACTATGTTCTTTAACGAACATAAGTCAAGGTGTCCGGGTAGGGAAGGTCAGGCAAAGTTAAGAGTTGCAGAGGCGAGGATGGAGATGGCTAGAAGGTCCTTCTAAATTTTAGGTGCCCGTCTCGGGAACTCTCTGCTCCGGGCTCTAAGACATGTATCGTGGCTGGACAGCTTTAAAAGAGGGGCGCGAGCGTACTTTTTCGGGCTGGACCCGTAGGCCTGTGACGAGTGCTACTGCAATTATTTATGAACTTATCTGATTAATATTTATGTCTGTAAAGGTTATTCCTGCTGCACCTCTAGTCTTAAGAAAAGTCTTTTCTAGTCGCGCGAATATTACATAAATGATTTCCCTACTTAAATCTAATATAATTTAGTCAAATTAATTTAAAATATTTATGTTTGTCCTGTACAGTTTTGTTGTCTCTAGGCGACAACTGAGAAAATCTGTATACATGTGTGTGTGTGTCTGTGTGTGTGTGTTTATTTATTTGTGTACTATATCTTTGTGATAGTATTGTAATGCGTGATATTGTTTCTATGATACCTTGACTAAACTAGAGAATTTAATATTTACAAAGGTTATATTTAAATGTTTAATAGTTTTATCAAAAGTGAATAATAAATTTATCAATCTCTCTCTCTCTTTCTCTCTCTCTCTCTTTCTCTCTCTCTCTCTCTCTCTCTCTCTCTTTCTCTCTCTCTCTCTCTTTCTCTCTCTCTCTCTCTTTCTCTCTCTCTCTCTCTCTCTCTCTCTCTCTCTCTCTCTTTCTCTTTATCTATTGAATGGGTAACAGCTGATTTGCTGTATGCGTTATTTCTTTCTTTATTATAAAACCATTGTTATTTTATCTTACATCTCTTTATTTTACTTTACTCATGTTTACTTTCCTCAATCGTTTACCGGTGATTAAGTTGTGTACGCGTTTCTATAGGTCAAGCCCTAGAATGAACGAATTCTGCGTTAGTGACATGATGTCATATCGAATTAGGCTGTGAATATACTGTGTTACTAAGTGCAACAAGCCGGCATTAACTATAATCGGAGCGACGTCATTTTTCCACAAGAGGCCGCCACCTCCTCTTATGTCAACAAGGAATATTGTTGAGGCCAAAAATCTCGTTGTAATAGTGCATACATTAGCTACTGTACTATATAATAACGTAATGTACTATTCTTGTTTATTCTGTTATTCTTTTCTAAATTTTTTTTATTTTTATGGGATCGACATATCTATTGATCAGTTGTCTTAGATATGCTATATCTCTATGAAAGGGCTCATTCAAAGATGTCGCTTACGAATTTATTAAATTTAGCTATTCAGCAGTATATTTGATAAATTATAAAAATAAAATTATTCCTACCGTTTGGTAATAGAAATGAACTAAATTAAATTTCCTGTTATATAAAATATTTATTCGGTGATAGGTTTCGCATAAATTTGGCTATGGGCTTATGGATGCTGGCGCTATAGTAAGCCTTGCTGAACAGTGGACTAATGTACCGGCTCAGCGTATTTGCAAATCTCAAGAAATCAATGAGGATCGTCAGATCGATTCAACGTATAGCTACACGCTCAGTGTTTCTATGGATGTAAATGGCTGTGCAAGTTCTCTCAATGAAGTTCGCTTTCTTGAACACGTACAATGCAAGGTAATAAATTCATCTATTCACACATTACACTTGAATGAAGTATTTGTTTATATACCTTTAATTTGAAAATATAATCACCCTATCGAATTTTTACAAATATTAATTTTTAAGCTTTTGTTAGTGCATATAAAACGCTTTCGACTCCGAACGTCAAAACATATGTATATGTGGCTTAGAAATGATTCTTTTTAATCTGATAATATATTTTACCATAGAGGAAACATTTTGAAATATTAAAATATTCCCATTTGTTTCACTTTTTAATTCGTTTTCTAAACATAAAATGGTTCTTAATTGTTTTTGCGCGTCAACGATCTCGCGTAGATTAAAACCAATAAAACCACTGTTGATAATCTGTTTGAACTTTTTTAATATTTTTTTATTTTATGTGCAACATAAAATTACGCTGAGGGCCAATGGTATTTCTTTTATATGATACATTTGTACACGTGCCCGACGTAACTTGATCTACACTAGTTTATGAAATATTATAAATCTAAATTTAGGGCAATTCTTGGCTATTTCAAACAGTTGAAAACATCAAATCACCAATTTTGTTCAAAGTTGATAGACTTGTTACCTATACAGAGATCAACATCTGTGCAGAGTTTTAGATCAAAATATTGATAAGAGGTTGACTTATCAACTGTTGAAAAAATATTGGACTTTTTTTTATTAATTCTATTTCTCGGATACTAATAAAGATATGAACATAATTCTTTTTTTAAAAGACGCAGAAAGAGTTTCACTTTTAAAATGTAAATAGTAAAATACCAAATCATTTATTTATGTCATTGTTATAAACAACTTTTTCAAAAAATCGACGATATCTTGTCATTTTTTACATAAGAAACCGTTGAGAGAATAAAGTGCCCGCTATTAGGATTAAGACAGCACTAAAATGAAACGAACCGCGTGCTAGCCACTCGGCCGCTCGAACGTCCGCTACTCGTACGGTTCCAACGTTGCTTGCTGCAATTGCCTTTAACGAATAAATAATTACGTATTCTATCGGTCTAGATGTATTTATTTAAATAATATATTGCAACGGTAGTCGATTCAATTAATCGATCCGTTCGCGAATCTGTTACTCGCGTGTTAGTTCGAACAATTAAGAGAGAAAGGGGGCGCGCGAGCATTTGAAATAGGCAGTTACGCCTCAGCTGTTTTCGCGACAATACCGCTAAATCGTTATTGCACTGTGTTTCGCCGTTTTACAAAGTTCTGTTGGAACAATACGTCCGAGAGTGCAATAGCAAAAGCAGCAAGCAGCAGCAGTTAGCAGCAGCAAATTGTAGCCGATTGAAGAGTGAGGCAACGCAGCTGATTAATTGGAGGAGCATCGGCAGTTGATTTTCTTCATCAACAATTACGACTTATCACCGTAATTGCACCGCAGGGTAGGTGTACTTCCTTTTATTATTGCATGACGAAATACGCTAGGAAGTATGTTATCAATCGCGATATCCAATTTTTTTTGTATTCGCGCCGAGCGTTAGTTTCGCGGTAATTTTCGAATCTTCTCTCTCTCTCACCAAATAATAATAATTCATTGTAAATCCTATTCGCGTGCGTTAATCTTTCGGTCCATAAAAGACTGTAGTTTTTACTAATTAAAGTTAGTTAATTTTATTCGCCGATTACGTCATTTCATTTCCTATTAGCTTAAGCGATTTATAAAGGCTTAGGTTTTAATCCGATTTCATCTAGGGGATTAAGCGGATTACGCATAAAGTCACTCACACCTAAGATACATTGAGTGTCACAAGTCAAGTGACTTAAGGTGAGTTCAACTCAGCTAGATAGAAGACACCAAAATGAAATCATCTGACGTAAAGGCAGATACACGTACAACTATACGTGTTTAACGGAGCGGTGGTTAGCTCTGCATCGTGGGAATTTGCGCTTGAATAAATTTTCCATTTTATTATATAACCTCCCTCGTTACAATATAAATTAATTGATTAAATAAGTAATGTAAATGAACTATTTTTTTATACAATCTAATAATATTGAAATTAAACATTTGCTCTCTGCGTTTGATCGGGCTTGAGACCGGCGCATATTTACGAAGCGGCCGCATTAAAAATGTTTTTTTATCGGACCTACACCATAATACTCTTAATAAGTTATTTACAAATAATTTGTTCTAACCTATTTTCCACCTTATTGTTACGAATGCAATTTATAATATCGAATTCGTACGTTTGTATCCACGGCAACGTCAGAATAAATATTTTTGTTGTCGTTTAGTTAGTTGACGCCTGAGCGTCAAATTGAAAGCATCACGTTTGTGTTTCAATAAAGTGTTAGTTTGTGTTATTTGTGTATTTTTATTGACTATACGAAAATGTAACAATATATTTTTGAATATACGTCATTCTCACGCCCGATCAAACGCACAGAGCAAATGTATCATTTAATGTTGTTTCAGATTGTACAAAACAATAGTTCATTTATATTACTTATATTACTTTTTATTACGTTATATTAAGTAAATATGTCATTAAATTTAATTTAAATTTAATTACTTATTTAATTAACTAATTTATATATTATAAATAAATACATGTAGACTGATAGAATATGAAATTATTTATTTGTTAAAGGCATTTGCCGCAAGCAATGTTGGAACCGCACGAGTAGCACTAGTAGTAGACCAACGTGACTGGACGTATTGTAATGTGACTGGCTACGAGCTATTCATTTTAGCCTATAATAATTTGAGTACGAGAGAAATCAACCTGAAGAGGTCAGCAAATGTGCTGACGAAACATTGCTGAATAGAATTAAAATTAAGTGAATTTCCATCTCTCATTATTTCCCTTCTTTCCATTATTACAAAATTTATCATTTAAGAAAACTATAAGGGAATCAAGACAGTATGTTACGTATTAAATAAGTAATACTACCCAAGTGTAAATCTCCGATTGTTCTTAAATTTTGTATGATTGTTCAGTATTTCCAAATAATAGATATGTATTTTTTTTTATTTCGACGGAGTTCATTTTTAAGCTTGGCTATTTAATGTTTGCTTTCGTATAGTGTACTATGTATTCGTAATCTAGAATCTTAATGGTCAACAGTTAAGTTGCAATGGCCTTTGAATTTAAATTTGAAATAAGTTTTCTTCTATTCAATTAGATTCAAGGCCATTCCAAGGTCAACGCCAGAATAGAAATGCTATATGGTTCAATACAACATTCATAAATAATTTTAGATCCTCTGAATCGTTGCATCTTATTCAAACATATTCAAAGTCACTTTACGGTGAAACATTTGAGAAAAACTGTGCAACCTATCCCATATTTTTCATGGCCTGATTAGGTCAAACAAATCCAGATTCAGTACTCCTAATTGACTACACATGCTGGCTTAATCCCGGAGATTTTACGGTCTTTTCTGTTAATGAAATTGTTCAGGCTGCTTGGCTTGATTACAAAAACGCTTTTCTTCTGTTTTTTCTTTTTTTTTCTTCGCCATGAAATCTCTAATTTGGTCGTTTTCTTGCCAAACCGATTTGTCGAAAGCAAGGAATGCGTGACGTCGCTGTTTGATAAATACTAAATAGAAATGTTTGACCTTCGGTTCTATCCTTACAATGTAGTTCAACGACAAGTCGAATCTTGCTGTTGGCTAACTCACAGCACAATTGTTGATGATACTTGTTTTCTGTTTGTTGAGCAAGTCTGAATTGGTATCGAATCATGTACTAACGTCACTCCTGTTGCAAGTAATACGCGTTTGGGAATGACACTTCCTGGGTCAATTCTGCCTCCTTCCCTTGGGACTAATGGGAGGATCAAAGAGCACTCTTATGCTCCAGCTCTCGATATAGAAGAGAGCGTATCGCTGCTCCTTGTTCTAATCTAACAGTTGCTCAACCTGGTCGCAGAAACCTACGAATCACTTTTCCAGGCAACCCAGTCAAGGCGATATAACAGAGGGCAGGTCCAAAATATAGATTGCAAATAGCGATGATCCCAGAATACTGCCCTGCGGCACTCCAGTAGCAACCCTGAGCCAGTTCGATACCCCGCCGACCTCCCCCACAACAGCCTCAAACCTGTTAGTCAGATAGTTGAAGAATCATCTCAAGACAGTGTCAGACAGGCATAGGTCCCTGAGTTTGACCATCAGACGACCATGGTGAATATCGTCAAAACCCTTGGAAAAATCCAGCAGGACGAGGATTGTAATTTTATGATCCTCAATGGCCCTGCGGATGTCACGAAGGACACCCAGGAGTGCAGTCTGAGTGCTGTGAAACCTCGCGAATCCGACCTGCTGTGGATCACGCAGTTTGAAGCGGTCCAGATAGGACGAAAGTTGTGAATGAACGAGCCTCTCAAGCACCTTTGATACCTCAGATAACCTTGCTATCGGTGTGATGTCCGATAAAAGAGCGGGCGAAGGTACTTTGGCAAGAGGGATTGATGAGAGACCTTTTCCAGGAGGTCGGAAAAACGCCGCACAGTAATGATTTGTTAACAAAATGCGTGAGAGATGAGAGACAAGTAGAAGATTCGAGTTTGAGCATCTTGACAGACAAGCCATCGGGACCGAATGTTTTGGATGAGGACGAGATTAGTACATCTATAACCTCCTGGCTAGTGACCTCATGAAATTTGAATGGGGAGTGGGCGTGAGGAACATTTAGGGGACTCGCTAAAAGGGCGTCGAAAAAGTCACATGTCATGGGAGGAGACGAGTTAACTATATTGGCAAAGTGGGTGTTTAATACGGCTGGGGGAAAAAATCGAAACGGGGATGGAAGAGCGCGCTTTGTGACTCCCAAGTTTTGTAGCTCGCTCCATCTGGCCTTATTGGTGTTTGCGAAGGACAGTCTGCTTGAGATGCAAGAATTTTTTGCTGAGTCGAGGGCATTTGATACGTCATTACGTAGTCTTCGATAATTAGCGACGTCACTATAGGCAGCGTCACGCCTTTTCATGAGAGCGAGAATGCTCGGAGTCACCCAGGGTTTACGCCTAGAAGAC